CGTTCAATTGTTATAACTAGAATAAGGCAAACCTTGTTTCAAAAAATCTGTGCCTCTACAAAAAAATCATGTACTAGTATGGTTGGCTCGGTCTAAAGACCTCCTATTGCTGCGCCACGCGCTCAAATTTCAAAAAATTGCGATTTCGTGATTTGTTCAAAAATGTTTTAAAAAAGGGTTTCACGTGATTTTGTTTAAAAAATTATTTCTTACTGCCAAATTTAGTGATGATGTTCAAAAACTTAACAATGATCATAGCACTCAAATTTCTCATGAGCATAGTAAAGTACATGTTTTAAAAAAGAATAGAACTCTACAACAAAGGATTTTTTTGAGAAAACTTTTTTATTACATTAAAACTAAATACATATTCTATCAACTAATAGAGCTATTTTTTTAAAAGATAGGACAGAAAATGACTTTTATACTTTTAAAATTTGCCCAAAATTTAGGAGGTCTTTAGACCAAGCCAACTATACTGAATAGATGCGGAATGAATACACATGGAAAAAACATATTTTTGATATGGAATGCATCAGAAAACACATTTTGATACAAAATACTCAATTTTACACATGTAATAATTATGACAGGTCCTGCTATAATTATGCATAAGTTATTCTTTACTTGCTTGTTACTTGGCAAAGTTTCACACAACATTGAATAGCAAAAATGCCAATTATTCATAAAATGGTACCAAATCACCTTGTAAATTTACATATTGGACAAGGTTCTAATTATCATATTCAAAATCACATTAATATATATGTAATTTCCATTGTAATTTTACAAGTGAGTGCAATAGTTGCATAATATTGCTCTGGAAAAATTTCCTAATGAGGCATAGATTAGAAAAGAAAAGAAGATAAAAAAACAAAATCTTAAAAATGAAATGGTTTTAAAATTCAAAACATAAAATCTATAATAGTATAATCAGCAAATTAAATCATTTATTTATTTCCTTCTATATCTCTCTCTCTCTCAAAATTATCTTTTTTTAGTTCCTGTTCCAATTAATTTACAAAATAAAGAGGTTTCAAATATTTTAAAATCTCAATTATTAACAACAACTTCTCCTTCTTCTTCGACGTCTTCTTCAACATTAAATAAAAAAGAAAGCTCTTATTGTGAGATATTTGATCTCACTAAAATAATACCAAATTCAATATTGGAGAGTTCTTCAAAGCTAATTACACTGATTGATGGCACTAATTGGATTAATCAAGAAAATATTGTTAAAGATAACGTTGATGATGAAAATCAATATGAAACAATTTTGATTAAATTGCAAAAAATTATCAAGGAGAATAATCCTAGGTTTTTCACATCTTTAAATAATTATATATTATATATTATTAGATTTTCTTATATTAATTTGTCTTTTTTAATAAAAAGAAACATCCTTAGAATAGGAATACATTCTATTGCATCACCGTTTTGGAAAGCTAGAAATTCCAATGTAATAAAAAAGAATTTTCCTCTTAATCTTTTGCTTGAATTTTTTTTATCAAAAAAATCCCCATTCATATATGTTTATAAACATGTTATTATTAGGATGTTTTTAGATTTTTGCATGCACTAAGAGGATTGATTAGAAATACATATAGTTCGGCAATCATTACAATACCAGCATATCTATATGAACCAATAAATGCATCATTTATAAGAAAAATTGAACATATTTGTGATGCAGTTGTAGAAATTGAATCATTTGCAGGTAGGTAACATTATATTGTATATAACTAATAACCCATCCACATGATGTTATATATTCTTATAATTTATTATATTTACATTTTCATTGCTGTTATGTATTAGGATCATTGTCAAAATCCAATTTGATTTATTCAACATCTTTTAATGGTTTATTTCGTATTCATAAATTACCAACAATAAATTCTCTGGTTCCATCAACCATGAAATTATCTATATTATCAGGTGGTGGTAGTAATAGTGGTGGTGGTAATAGTGGTGGTGTTGGTATAAATAATAATTTAGGATTTAAATTAAGACGTAAAAGATTTTCAATTGAAGTGTTTCATTTACCTCCTGAAGGTGAAATCAAAGAGACAAAATCCAATAATGATAATCTAGGAATTAATGAGCAGAAAAATTTTGGTGAGGACTGGTAAAAAAATATTTTATTAAATTAATTAAATCGATTGATTTGATTAATTTTATATACGTTGTAAAGTTAAATCTTTGGAATTAAAAATAATTAATTTTTAAAAGAAAACATTAATATTAAGATTTTTTTGAAAATTTATTATCTGATTCATTTGCAAATGTATTCAAATTGTCAAGACTTGAATTCCAAGGAGAAGGAGGATGGTTGTAAATTTTGTATATTATTATTATTGTTATTATAAAAGTAGTATTGACATCATTATTGGTTCCTCTTGTAAAGGTAAAGCTTTTTTTGTATTTCCAAATAATTTAGGATCATATTGATACGATGAGAATGATAAGAAGTTGTAATATTATTATTAGTAGTAGTAGCAGCAGTAGTAACAGTTGAATAACTTCCTGGCATCAATTTATCCAAAGTTATTTCTTCAAAAGGTGTACCAGGCCTGATGTTGGAGAAAGAGTTGGTGATCTAGCAAATCGTAAAAGTGATTGAAGTGTTGTTGCAGTCGCAATCGTTGCCATTAGTGCATTGTTATTATTAATGAGGTTATCCAAAGATTTATCAACTAATGATTATTCAGTTTCACTCTTTTCATTGCTAATAATAATGCTAACAGTATTATTAACACTATTGCTACTACTAACATTAAGAATAACTCCTTTACTTTTAGATTTTTGAATCATATCATTTTTTTTTCTCTTAGACTAGTTGTGTCATGATGTATTCCAAATATAGTTCCATTTTATTTTAAAAAAAATCAGAAATAAATTTTTTGATTGATTTTATTATAAATATAAATATTAATGCCTGATACTTCGGAAAATTGTACGCTTACATAATATTAGTGTAATAGTAATATTTCCATATTCTATATGTCCCACCTCAGTTATACCCCACAAAAGATGACAAAAGGACGGACTTGTAAAGATGATTTCTGACGTCTGAAATCCGTGGAAGAAGACATAGTAAGTATTGGAAATGACAACTTCTTGTATAACATAGGATTTCTCTTATACTTACTAATTTTCAAAAGCTTCTAATTCATGAAAGTAAAGCCCTTTGAGCTTTACAACACCAGGAATCGAAAGAAACTTTAAAAGAGAGAATGCTCAAACTTCTTAAAATGAAAAATATTGAGCGCCTTCATAATATAGAGTTTTCATTCAATCCAGCAACAATGGATCTTTTTACAACATTTACAGTATGAGTTATTATTATATAATCTAAACTTTATTTTTCGAACCACTATATACTACATCCATTTGAATTTGTAATGTTATTGAGGTTACACTAATCATTCTATTTAATATATATATTATATATAGTTAATATTATTATTATAATTATAATCCTAAATATCAGGTTTTCCGGTTCCATTCTAGTACTATATAGTAAATTTTTTATGTAAAAAAAAAATTGTGAATTCTTTCATGTAGGAAAACTTCTTCTGGATTATTCGCATAATAATAAATAAAATGTTTGCCGTTTTTTAAACGGAAAAGATTTCACATTTCATATCATTGACATATATGTCAAGATATGATATCATAGTTATATATATATCAAGATAAATCATAATGATATATATATCGAGATAAATCATAATGATATATCAAAATGTAAAATTGACCGCCTGATTGAAAACTTGTCTTATCATTCGTTACATCACATAACTGGAGATGTTTTTCTATCAATATTAATATTAATATTGTTGTTGTTATTGTTGTTGTTGTTGTTATCACCAGTGTAATGGAGTGGCACGAAGGCACAGCCGATGAATGATATTATTATATTTTTTCCACATTTATCATTCTACAATGAAAATTCTGGTTTTATCACAGATAAAAATTTTCCAGTAAATAAAACTGTTCTTTTTTTAACTTTTTACTTTTTGGTGATCTAAATATGGACCCTTTGCTATATAAGTATTAATTTACTGGTAAATATTTTTTTAAGAATTTTTAATTCCTTCTTATGACAAATAATTATCCTTTTATTTGTGACAATAAATTGATTCCAATTAAAGATCAGATTTTCGAAGTTGTATCATTAATGAAATCAATTATTTAAAATAAAAGAAAATCGTTATTTTATCAATAGAAAATTTTTATTTTTTCATGAACTAGTCCTTTTTCATATTTTTTATATACATTTAGTAAAAAAATTTTTTTTTAACGAAAATAATATTAAAAAATATAAAAATATATCTATTTTCCTTGTAAATAAATTGTTTTTCTAAAAAAAAAAAAAAACAACTCAAAAAAAAATCAAAAATCATGACGTTTTCCTTGTATGTTTCTTTAATAATTATAATCATCATTGCTAGCTTTCAAGTTTCAGTTAATTGTCAACTGAATAGTGATTCTCCTACCTACAACTTTACTGTTCGTAAAGTAGGAAGCTGTAATTTGACACTTTGGGAAAATTCTCCTGTTCTTGATCAATTGGATCAATTAAATGTTTGTATTCTTTATTTTTTTCACAATGCATATACATTTATATATTTATCAATCATCAATCCATTAATCCAATCAATATAGGGTGCAATACATAATTGGCCAAAGGTTAACATAACTAATGTTAAGAGATGGATGGCTTATGTCAAGTGTGACGCACCTCTTATGCTGAAAAACATAACCGAGTTGGACACTAGTGAAGCAGTAATACTCCCATACGATTATGCTTTGTGTAAATATTACCTGGCTCATGCGGAGGATCTCCACGTTCCAATATTCGTAGGAACGAGTGAAAGTTGTAATGAGTTGATGGTGAATGATGGATTTTATGGTACAATCAGTCCTATTATTACAACAGCTCCTACAACAATTCCTCCCACCGTCACTGATACTACTAATGATGAAAATAAAAAAGTGATGGATACCTATAAGACTGCTATGATAATCTTATACGCAATATCTGGTGTAGTATTAGGCATATTCTTTTTGGTGATAATCACAAATCTTGTTAGAAACAGATCTGCTTCATCTCGTCCATTAGCAAGAAGGTCTCGCGACATTGATGGAAATAACGATAATAATGAACCTGGAATTACAAAATCTGTTTTGGATAGTTTTCCTGTTTATTTATTCTCTTTAAGAGGCAATAATAACGATAATAATAATGACCTTGAAAAAAATAAATCTAAAGCAATCGATAAATTAGATACAATAAATGATTCTACTCCGGTTATTAGTCGTCAAGCTGATCAAAATTCAGAAAAATTTACTAAAACCGATAATGACACTAACAACGATAATAAAGATGTTATTAATATCAAGATAGATACATTACAAGAACCTAAAGCTGCAATTTTAAAAGAAAATAAATCTATAGTTCCACCTGCTATATTAGCATCAAATAATATAACTGATGCACAATTAACTTGCCCAATTTGTTTGGGAGATTTTGAACAAGGCGAAAAATTAAGAATCTTACCTTGTCATCATCAATACCACATGTAAGTTTATCCTATCTATCTATCTATTACCTTGCTTTTAATTTTAATTTAGTCACATCATCTCATCTTTTGATTAAAATTATTTGTATTTAAATGAATAGATCTTGTATTGATCCTTGGCTTTTAGATGTATCATCATTATGTCCAATGTGTAAAGCTGATTGCACGACTTGGAATATTGATGAAAGTAATAATGAAGACTCAAAAACACCAACTACAATTATCACTACTACAAATTCTTCTACTTCTTCACCTATTGAATCCAGAAATAATGATCATGGTGCTTTCCCTCACTTCAGATGGGTAAAATATCTTGCATCTATTCGTAAAGAAGGACGTAGAACAAGCAGATTATTTAGAAATTCACGTGGTGGTAGTGGTAGTGGTGATAATAGTGTAAATAATAACAATAACAATAATAATGATAATAATAACAATGAAATTATAAATGCTTCTGTTAGTAGCAATAATAGTTAGAGTATTGGATGGAATAGATGGAATCACCTTTTATGTTTATACTATTGTTATTATTATACTTGTTTCTTTGTAAAATTCTTATTCTTTGTACAAAGTCAAAATTTATTATTATTTTATATATATATTTTTTTTTTGTTATAACCATTGGATGAAGAAAAATAATGATATGTAATGTATATATATGTAAAAAGGCGACTTTATTTTTATTTCTTTCTTTCTTTTTGTAAAATCCATAAAATTTTTTATTTTTATTTTTAATTTTTTTTTAAAATTGATAAAAATAAAACAATATATATTTCAATATACATATCAGAATCAACGTTAGCCCCAATTGATTTTAATTATTTTATTTTGTAAGTAATAATAAAAAAAGATAAAAATCAAAAAAAAAGCAAAAATGTTATTTTATATACCCAATCTAATTTCTATTTTCGAAGTAAAGTATAATAGCGCGTGCGTGTGTGTGTGTGTGTGTGTGTATATATATATAAAGTAGTAAATATATATATTCTCTTTATTTTTTTTTTCAAAAAAAAAATAAATAAAAATTTACATTAATTAATTATTCCATACTCTCCAAACCTAAAAGTAAAAATTTCTTTATTAATTTTTAGGACTTCTGCTTCTGCGACGCTCATAACTTCTTTCATCGTCATGTCTTCTTTTGTTACGATCATAGTCATTACCTGATGAGCGTCTACCACTATCATAATCTCTTTCTTTATTATCACGACTAGAACTTCTATGCCGTCTATGATGATGATAACGCTCACGGCTATCACTCCTACTACGCTTGCGTTCCCGATCTCCTCTGTATCTGTCATGATCTCGACGTCCTCGATCATAATCATAATCTCTATATCTGTGTGATCTCGAAGATCCTCCTCCTTGTTCAATACTACGACTACGTGTTCTACTACGTCTGCTACTATGCTCTCGTTCTTCATCTTCACCACCACGTCTCGAAACAGCACGATCAGATGGTCTTGGCTCTAAATCATACGAATCTCTCCTAATAGTCATCATAACCAATAAATACGCAAATATATATATATATATATATATAAAATTAAAAAAAAGAAATATTAGTAAACTGTTTTTTGTTGTTAATTATGATTAATTGTAAAAGAGTTTATTTTTTTAAAGAATGTTTTTTTATTTTTTTTGGGGGGAGCTTGATTTTTTCATTAATATATAGTATTATATTATTATTATCTTTCTACCTCATTCCCTAGCAAATGATGAAGAAATCCACTCGTGTTTTTAATATTTTTTTTATTTTATTTTTTTTTTTTAATTTTTAAAATTTTTAAAAAGATGTAAAGGAGGAAGAAAAAATTTAATAATAATATAAATATATATTTCATATATATATGTGCCTACCTTGATAATGATGAAGGTGGTAGTGGTGTTGGTGGAAGATCTTGTGATGAATATTCTTTTAATCTTTGATCAATATCACGTGCTATTGGAACAGGAATACGTGGTAGTATGGTACCAAGCCATTTTTGCTCAGTTAATAGTTGACTGCAAATTTTACCAATTGTCCTATAAATATATATAATATAAATGTATGATGTATGTTTATGTATAAATAAATATAGGTGGATCAATTAAATTATTTGTTATAGAAAAAATTTTTTTTTTCAAGTACATAATACACATAATATATATATAACTCACTATTGAATATATAATTACTTTCTTGGAGTGTAATAAAATATATATATACTCCATAGAACATACATACATTATTATTGGACGAGCGCCACCTTGAACTTGAAGCTCTTCTTCATCATCTAAATATGCTTCAAACCATTCCCATAAATTTTCTGGTTTACAAACGTATCGAAGATATAAAAATCCTAAAGCACGAATATATCTATTAAAAAAAATTTTTTTTATGATAAATTTTTTGATTTAACATTTAAAAATAAAAATATAAATATATATGCTGAGAAAAGGAAAAAAATCATACGGTGAATCAGGATGTTCAATTAATCCTGATACTTGTTTAACGGTTAATCGAAGGGTCCAAAGTTTATATAATAAACAAAATGCTGTCGAAGCTGTTGTTCCCTTTAGGAATGGTTCTATTTTAAATTAAAAATAGGATAATTAATTAATTAACCCAAATTGTATACATATTTTGGCAAGCCTAAATAATAATAAAAAAGGCATTGGTGTTTACCTACCAAGTGACTCAACTATTATGTTAATTGTTTTTGAATATGTAAATTATTGATTCAAAATGTAAATTAATAAATGCTATTGATTAACTAGAATTTCAATTAAATATGTAACAAAACAAAAAAAAATATTACCATGATTATAAATTTCATCAATAACTTCATGATAGGTTTTTAATTCGCTATTTTTTTTTAAAAAAAAATAAACCGTTAATTAAAAAACTACTGTCAAGATTAAAGTATTTTTTTAAAATAAGCTTGAACAATATTGAGACAACATACTCACTAAAGTTGCTTGAAATAAGGAGAAGCTTGAATATTCTGATAAAGAATGTTATTCAAATTCATAGTAACCTCATTCCCCAAAGTTTCAAGTTTATTTGATTGTTTTGAGCCATTTTTATCTTGTTTTTTTGTCATGTTTAAAGCTGATGTGGGGTTGTTCATGTAATTTCTATTTATTTATAGGAATTTTTTTTGCAATCAAATTTGGAAAGATTTTTAAACCAATAAATTTCCATTATCAGGTATTACAAAACATGGAATTACGTAATTTTTTTGAATATTTAAACAAGTCCGTCCGTCCACATCCTACAACACCAAGTTCCAGGTGGGATAAGCATATATTTTTTATCATAAAATAGTGTATTAGCGATGTTACATGCAAATATAACTTTTGAATCCTTACAATTTGCCTTCTTGATGATGACAATACAAAGAATACATATTTTCCAAATCTTTGGTTATTCTATCAATAGCTGTGGATTATCTCATCGATGTAGAAAAAACATACATTCTTAAAAATACTGTATTCGATCAAAAAAAATCACAATCAAAACTTTGATCTGATTAAGATTTTTATTGTAAAGCGCTATATTATCGAATATCATTACTTATCTAGGTAAAATATTGTAAATTTTTTTCCATTACAAATCAATTTTATGAAATCCCATCATTTATTATTATTATATTTTAATTTTCAAAAATTTTAGCAAAATGGTCACCACAAGAACAAGTACTCGAAGTAGAAACGCAAACAATGATAAAAACAACACAAACAATAAGAACATTGCTAATAACAAGAAAAAGAAAACGAATAATTTTGAAGTTGAATCCGATTCGGGACAAAATGTAACAACAAGACCAATTGCAACTCCTCGTACCAAAAGTCGTCGTACAACTCCACCAACTCCAACACGTACTTCTCCAAGGAACGTTCGTAAATCAACGTCTACTCCCTCAAACTATCCTCATTCAAAGGTCTTTAAAAAGCATTATATAAACGACATCCCGATCCTCGAAACTACCATAAGATTTGAGGAGGACGAGTATGATGTTTGGCGTCGTCTAGATACTGACGAAGTTAACCTTTATTACATGTTGCGTGTCAGATATCCTACTGATAAAGAAGAGAATGAATGGAAACATGAACTTGAAAAATTGAAAAAAGAAGTTACTGAATATAGAAACGTTGAAGAGGGTTATTTTCATGGTATTTGGTAAGTAATTCATATTAAAAAATGTATTATTATATTATTATGAAAATTTGTATTAATCAATCTCTTTACATCATATACTTGTATAATTATTTAGGATCTCGCTTAAAACAGGTAAATGACATATTATATAATGATAGGTACGTATTATTTATTATATATTAAAAATATTAATTACTTATTATACGACAATTAGCACGTGATATTGCTGAAAGATACGAAATTTATGATAGTGTGTCTGTATTATTTGAACATGATAATTTGTGGTATGTGAGCCCAAAAAAAAGATCAAGAATAAAGGTAATTTGGAAATTCTATCCATAATGCATACACAAATAAATAAATAAATATTTACATATACTCAATCATACAAAAAAAATTATATTAGAATAGTCATGATGATTCCAAGGAAAATGGCACATCTAGTAATGAGACTGAGTCAATCAATGGTTCAAACGTAAAAGTAGAAACCAATTTTGATAATGATCAAGCATCTTATAAAGAACCCAAAAAAAAAGCTGCTGTTCGTTTCTCTATCACAAATAAATCAATCAATAACCATATCAACAAGAGTTTAACCGACAGTAACAGTGACAATGATGATGATAATGACAACTCGTCACCGGTCGACATCAAAGGAAAGAGACCACAACAATCCACTGATCGTGACCATGATGATGTTAATACGGAAGTTGCTTCTACTAAAACGACGTACATTCACGAGGAAATAGCTGTTCTTAAACCCGATGTCAAAGATGAAATCAAATCGCTCAAAAGAAAATCGGACGAACCCGACGGCCTTTTCAGTGCCTGTTCTAGATCAAAAAGATGTATACTCTGGACCGGAATTGGTGCTGCAATTGGTGCTAGTGTGACAGCAGCAGCTCTTAACAACTTTGGAATTGGATATTGGACCTAACTAATAATATATTGATTGATTAGAGACTGGCTCACCATTATTATTATTATTTGACAAAAACAATTTTTTGAACATTATTTAACACTTTATATTCAATTTTTTTTATTATTTTTATAATTTCTGGACAAGTTTATAATTTTAGATTTACAAAATTTAGACTAGGGCTAGTTATAATTAAGGAATGACATGAAAAATTTGATAACCTATAAAAATTCTCATTCCTCCAACCCTTAAAGATGATGACATGTTTTAAAAAAATCCTCTATTCTTCTATCATTATCATTCAATATCGCCATTATCATCATTATATATATATTTTTAATGTGTACATAAGACATTTATTTTTAAAATTAATAAAAAGTAAAAAAATATTATGCTGAATTATGATTGGTCGATCAATTTTATGTTCTTGTACATAAAAAATTTTTTTTTTAAAAATTTTATTTTATTTATAATTTTAGCCTCTCGACAATTAATTATATTAAATCATGGTAAATATCTATATACATATACACGAGTGTGCTTTTGCACAAATGATTTATGTTGATAAGTGTAAATAAATATAAATGTTTTCTAATCACAAAAAAAAAAAAAAAACAAAAGGCACCAGTAAAAGCTTATAAAATTCGTAATAGTGCCAAGGAGGAATTAACAAAACAACTTGGCGATCTTAAAGAAGAGCTTTCTAGTCTTAAAGTACAAAAGATAGCTGGAGGCGCTGCATCAAAGTTAACAAAGATGTTTGTAAAAAATTTTTAAATATATTTGTATATCTTTAATCAATCAATCAAATCAATTATCATTAATCGATAATTAATCATCCTATTTGCTCGTCTGTAGTCGAGAAGTTCGTAAATCTATTGCAAGAGTAAATACAGTTATTTCACAAACACAACGTGCACAAATTCGTCTTTATTATAAAGGTAAAAAATATAAACCTCTTGATTTTAGACCAAAGAAAACCCGTGCAATTCGTAGAAAGTTGACCAAGGTAAGTTTTATTTTGGGGAACTAAAAATACATCAATAAAAAATCATTAATATTTATACCCACTTTTTACATCGATTAGAATGAAGCTTCAAAGAAAACTAGACGGTAATCATTATTATTGCACTTTGATTTAAGAAAATTTTTTAAAAATTTTTTATTTACAAAAAACGCTTTTTTAAAAACTAGTGCTCATGTTAAAGCTATTCATTTTCCACAACGTAAATTTGCCATAAAGGCATAATAAAATCCTAAGAAACCATTATTAATAACAAAAATAAAAAAAACTATACTTCATTATTTAATAAATCAAATTGATACTTAAACCAATATTATTCCTTCTTGAAACGAATCAATGTTTTTTTTTGAATCCAACGATTTAATTGACATTGTTAATTTTTTAAAAAATTATAAATTATTTCCAAAGAATCTTTATCTGATTGACTTAACAATATATTTGCTTCTTGATCTTGATTATCGTCATCTTCTTTTTTAATTTGGGTTTTGTATGTTCACCTTTATTTTTTTTTGGAATGAGAGGAAAGGAAAAGATTGTTTAAATTTTAGAAATAAATAAATTAAATAATTAATATTTACATAAAATACACTTTTATCCTTTGCCAATGCTGCCAATACTTCATGATGTGACATTTCTCCTGTAAAATATTAATCTGCTTTTTCTGGTGATAGCACTGAAACATCTTTAATTAGAAGGAGAGAATGTGGGTTGGTTTTTGAAATAACACCAGAAATAAAAATTTTATTCATAAAATTTATTTATTTATTTATTTATAATTACCAGACTCCAATTGTTGATTTTTGTCTATGCTTTTCAGCTTACTAACAATAATTATATAAATATTATGTATGAATAATTGATAGATTTTTTTCAGTATAATTATTCTTTGTTAATATTTATGATTTCTTTTCTAAATCATTTTTAATATCTTTATCATCATCTTTATCAATTGATCAATTATATTTATCATGTTCTAACTTTAGATGATTTTTAATTCGTTTAAAAATGATACTGGTCTTTAATGTGAAAAGTCTGCCTGCTCCTGCTCCCTCGTGACCTGTAATAACAAAATACCATTATTAATAATAAGTATTCATATATTACACATGCCTACCTAAATAAATACCTGCAGGTGGTTTTTCACTAGGCATCAAAGATATAGATGTCCCTGATCCAAGACCTTTAGTTAATCAAACATTTACTTTTTCAACCCCATCCAGCAAACCATCAAAAAAAAATCAATCAATCAATCAATCAAATCAATTAATAAAAATTTCTCAAATTTCTTACCTCCACCAACACTACAATCAACAGTATGAGGACTATAAACACTAATTCCTCAGCAATACATTTTAAAACAATATTTTGTTTGGTATAATTTAAATTTAGCCGTTTAAAAGCATGAAATATCGGTGGATGATAAGCCACTATCACTCCAACACTAGGGTTTGAAATGGCTTCTTCAAAGAACTACGGGTGTTAAGTATATGGTGAGAAATACACCTGTGGTTGAAGAACGTGGATATGGTGGTTCAATTAGTAGACCTACATTATCTCATTCTGTGTATGCTAATGGTACTGGTGCTATCTCTTCAAGAGCTCTAATTACACGTGTTAATAATGATATTGCTTCACAGATTAATTTACGATTCTGCGGCGAAATTGTACATAAACACCCTGAGCTTTACCAGAAAAGGATGCTTTTCCGTGTATTTTTGCACTGAAAATGTATGGAGTTTTATGGAAAACGATGAATTACACCCATATCTGATATTAATATATATTCAGTGTGTTTTCCGTGTTTTAAATTTTTCGGACGTGATAAGACTAGATATACCACAACGGCCTTCATTATACTACTAATAATTATCAAAAAATTGACATATAACACTTATTGTTATAATGTTGATAAATTTACTATTTAAAACATATATTTCCCAAACCATGTAATGATGAAGAATTTCGTTTTTTATTGTTGATATTGATGTTTGGGATTGTGTTACATTTTAGTAATTTTCCGCAGATAATTTCCAAAGTTGTACTAGTTACGATATTTGTCATTTCATCAGTGTAACTCTTGACTAAATTGTAATACACATGTGCTATTAAAAAAAAATTTTCCTATTTATTATTTTATCTACACATACATTAAACAAAATCAACTATTATCTAATTAGATTGATATCTCAAACTACTTTATTAAAAGAAATCTTTATTTAAAGATATGACTGACACGACTGACGCTGAAACTAAACCAGTCGCTGAATCTTCTAAGAAAGTTGAAGAGGTAAGATTGCTTGATTGATTTGACGCGTTTAATAGACAAACTTTCCATACCAAAAAGATATAATCGATTATTGCACTTGCATTTATCTGATATATAATAGGATGAAGTAGTTCCTTCACAAGAAATTCATTTTGAGCCACTTGTTAAATTGGACGAGGTTGAAGTTAAAACATTAGAAGAAGACGAAGACGTTCTTTTTAAAATGTAAGAGTTGTAAATATTAATATTCTATTTATAATATTGATAATGGTATTGGTAGAGTAATGATAATAGATCAATGGTAAAAAAAATTTTTAAAAAAGAAACAACAGAAAAATTCACTTGCATATTATACATAAAATGTATTAAATTGATAGCAAGTTAGCTAAACTGTTGAAGAATAAAAAATACATGTATATTATATATATAAATTGGAAGAAATTTCTGTAAAGATATAAGATATAAAGAAGTGATCTATTACTCTACGAGCTTCCAAACAAATTAATTATTACAATTATTACGATTATTACCACAATAAGTTATTTATTATTATTATATTATTTATTATTTACTTGATTAAATCAAATAATTAATTTAGGCGAGCTAAATTGTTCAGATTTGATAAATTATTGAAAGAATGGAAAGAACGTGGTACTGGAGACGTACGTTTTCTTCAACATAAACAAACTAAAAAAGTTCGTCTAGTAATGCGTCGTGATAAGACATATAAAGTATGTGCAAATCATTATAGTAAGTATTTTTTACATAATTTATTTATCATTTCATTTTTAATTGGTAAACATTTTAAAATTAAACCACAATCACAACATATAACACAATTCATAATAATTTATCATTTTATCATCATTTACAATTCATCATCATGTCTATTTTTCTAGTCACTCCCGAAATGCAACTTTCTCCAAATGTTGGATCAGATCGTTCATGGGTGTGGAATGTTACAGCAGACGTTTCTGATGGTGAACCAAAAGTAGAAACATTGGCCATTAGATTTGCTAATACCGAAAGTATATATCACCACCAATCATTCGTTGAAATATACTCGTAATATGATAATAATACAATATATTTATAATTGCTAACACTTTAATATTTATTTTGTAGATGCAACTATCTTCAAAAATGAATTTATCAAAGTTCAAAAAGCAAATGCTGGATTAAAGTCAGAAAATGAAGGTAAACCGGAAGAGAAAGGAAGTGATGATGATAGTAAGAAAGGCGAAAAGGTTGAAAAGGTTGAAAAGGTTGAAGTAGAAAAAAAAGAAAGTGATGATAAAAAAGTAGAAGAAGAAAAAGGAAAATAAATTATCATTATTATTATTAATTTATTAATATTATATATATATAATATTTATTAATATATATGTGTGTGTGTGTGTGTAAACTTAGCAAAGAAATTTAAAAATTTAAATCAAAATTTAAAAATTATATAAATAAATAAATATACATATTAAAAAAATAAAATGTAATTATTTAAATATTTTATGTCACGGGTCGATCGATACACACAACCCATTTAACATAATCATTAAATTTAATTCTATCAGTCAATCATATCAATGATGTAATCATCCATCTCTTAACTTTTCTCTCACAAAATTCAACAGAACTTTTGACGGCAAATATTGTAGACCTTGTGCAACACCTTTCCACATCCTTCGGCAAGATAGCAAAGACCATCCTTTATATTATGCCATCATGATTGATTACGCTGTAATACTTATTATTATTATAATAAAATAAAAGATTCACCCATTTCTGTGAATGTGTAAGATTCAAAAACAATTTAGATCCGTGGATCAGTGAACTTGCTGCGGAAAAACTAATTTCTATGTCCCCAAAGAAAAAAACTGTATATCAATAATCTTTGAGTTTTTTCTGTATGCTGCACACACAAAAAACAATTATGTAGTAGGATAATACAACTTTTCATGCAAAGGAGCTTGATTAGTAATTTTTGTGTCGATTTTCCTCCGCTGATTACTATGAAATATGTTATTGATTCATAGGCAAATCACTCTTCTAACAATAGTTTTATCATAAATAACTTCAACAGCTAAGTTATCATCAATTTTAATATTGATTACATTCTGCATTAATATTAATATCATTAAATTTTAAATTGCAATGTGAATGTGAATGTGAACATCAAATTCCTCTTTTCATCAAGAAGCTTTGTATTATATAATTTCCATGTTTAAATGTTTAAAAAATCATGAAGGTTTGAAAGTAAATGAGATTTTCTACACAAGCTAGGAACCATTCTTGTCATATTTTTTTGTGCTTTTAAAATCCAATTGAAATAATTATTGAACATGAAAAATTTTAAACTTTTTTTGTTGCAAAAATAATCCTATATTTCTGTCTTTCATTGCAGTTTGTTTAATGATGAATCTAAACAATATTATTCTAGAAAACTTGTTCTTATTTTGTTGTAGAATTTGGATTTGTTTCTTCGATCCGATTGAAAATTACACATAAATAATGCAAACATTTATTCGGGGACGATGATCTCGAAGTTAAGCAGAAAGGCCAAATTTAGGGTGTCGGAAGCAGGAAGTGAAGGATTCTAAAATGTTCTACCATTATTATTATGAACTATGATGTATTGTATTTTGTTTTGAGCAAATGTATGTTTTTTTGTCATTCTAAGTGATGCAGGTGGACCCATCTCAACTAAAATGTCTATTCCATTGAATTCTATACTAAAATTCCAGATCTAAAAAGAAATTTTTTTTTGGCCGGCTAACATCACTCACTACTTTTGGGATGGGTAAATTATATATAATATTTAAATTTTTATATATTTGCAAGAATTACATTGAATTTTCTTTTGCCGGTTTCTATATATAGAGGAATCAATAAACCTAATCATTCACTACATGATCCCACATTCCATCTCATGGTTCTTTCCCGAAATGCAATTATTATGTTTTGCTTATAAGACCCCGCCCTCTATAAATGCAATCCCTCTCTAAATGCACATAATGATTGATTTTTTCTATGTCTCCTGACAAGTTGGATATAGTGAGAGTTCACTGTACCAAGAAACTGGATGGGGAGTAGGGAGATGTTATTACTTGAACAATATGGAGAGGGAATGCTTATTGATGTGGGCTTAACAAAATTTTTCTGAAGTAATCAGCAGTTCACGCTCAAAGATTTTCATGTTGCATTAAAGCTCCGAACGAATCAATGAAATTCGAACCGAACCGAATCGAATCGCATCACCTAATTTTTGATTCGAATATTAAATACATATATAATTTGATTCGAACTTATTCAACCCAACTCGATTCGAACTAGTGGTGGTGGCCGAAACTACGCTTAGTGGGCCGAAATTACCGAAATTAATTGGCCTAAAATTTGACGAAATTAATTGAAATTGGGAATTTTTTAAAATAAAATTGATTGATTTAGATACTTATTATATATATGTATTGGATGAAACTACCTTTTTTTCAAAAACAGTTTCGGCTACCATCACTAAATAATATCCTTTATCAATTAAAAAATTTAAAATATACACAATCTTGGTTTAGCAGATAGTTTGAGTAATAGTAATTAGAAATTTTTTCCAAAAATCCGTTATTATTATATTCAATCCTTGTCACAGCGGACTATAATAATAATTAAATCTTATCATTACGGATTTTTAAAATTTTTGCTTTACATGTAAAAACATATAAAATTTTCTTATTGTTATGTGTGTCCCGTCTATCCATTGTGACTATATCAAGAAATCCGTTATATTGAGAAGAATTTTATTATGATTATTATTATCATCATTATTAAGTCTCAATCTGTTATGGATTCATTGTATTTAATATGACATTAAGAAAAATTTAGGAATTCGATTTAATTCGAATTGATTCGAATCGAATCACGAATCAAATCGAATCAAATCACTCTAAAATTCGATTCGATTCGATTCGTTCGAAGCCTTATGTTGCATTAACATTATAGAATCAAGCAGAATTTTTTTTTTGCCTTCTCATGAATCATATGCTAGTGAAACTAATAATAATGAGGATGATAATCATTCAGATAATTTGATTAGTCCACACGTTAGACATGAGTATGTCAAAAACCATTGAATGGTATCTTCCTGTTATTATAGGTTGAAATTCTTTGTCAACTGAGCAGCACTTGAAAATAAAAAAATCACAGCTATCTATCTATCTACCTGACAGTCAGCTATAATTATAGTAACGAAATGGATTTTTGTCAATTTTTCTACAACTTCCCGCAAGACTTTCATCACCTTCTACTTTTTTTTTTCTACAACAAACACTAGTAACCCAGGCAGTATATTGCCAAAACTAATGATGATGATGACAATTTAACTGATATTTCTCCACAAATGGATGAAGAATATGGTAGTTGGTATGGAAAAATTGGTAGATGAGGGGACCCTGTTGATAGAATTAATTTAAATGATATAGAAATTTTGATGGTGAGAAAATTTAAAAGTCATCAAATGAATTCAAAGGTGGTGGTTCATTTTAAATGAATTCAAAAATAGTTGATGTTAATGCCTGCCTGTTTTTTTACTATTCACTATTAATCTCAATTTAAACAAGCATATTTAAAAAAAAAATTTTTTTTATTTAATAACACATCAACTTAATCATTTTGGTTAATTTAAAATCATGAAAAACAAAATATTCAATTTTATTGTTATTGAGAATTTAGTTCATTCTAAGTACTTTCTTCCTGAAATTGCATTTTAAATAAATGGATTTAAATCGGGGTTTTGATTTATTGTATATAGTTCATTTCAAAATTCCTTCTAACATTGTTTACTATATTAATTGTATATAATAGATAGGAAGCTATATCACTCTTTGTCACAAGTATCTGTAAGAATAATATTTGAAAAAATGAAGATCATTCATTGTGGTCTAAAAATCATAATGGCCAAAACTTAGTAATGAATGCATTCAAGAATTATTGTTAATGATATTAATACTAATAAACTTATTGTTTAACTATTGTTTTTAGTAACATAAAACATTTCTCCAACTACAAAATTGCATATACATTTAAAAAACCCAATTAAATTTGGGAAGGACTTTATATAAGGTTATTTCTCAAAATTTAGTATTTCAAGAGTTATGGGTTATATTCTCCTCCATAAACAAAAATGTCATTTTATTTTTATTTTTTTTGTGGTTTTAAAACTATGAAAATAATTTAATTTTTGGTATGACTGCTCATCATTACATATTAATATTAATATTAATGTAATATTCATCCGAAAAATATAAAAAATATTTTCCTTTTTCTTTTTTTAAAAAAAAAAAAATGTTTTCTGATACCAAAAATTTCAAATTTGCAGAGATTCCGGATTTATCTGGCAAAGTAACTAATATTAATATACTAATCAACGGGAATTTTTTAATCAATTTCAATTGATTTAATTTAATAATATTTTTTAGATTGCGGTGGTAACAGGCGGAAATTCTGGTATTGGATACGTTACTTGCAGAGAACTGGCAAGAAAAAATGCACATGTATTTATTCTAGCTCGTAATATCGAAAGGGGCACAGCAGCCGTTGAAAAGATCAAACAAGAAATAGAAAATCAAAACGTAGAATTTTTACAATTGGATCTACAAAGTTTAAAATCTGTTAAAGAATGTGCCGAATCTTTTTTGGCTCGGAAATTACCATTACATATTTTGTAAGTAAATTGATAATAAATATGTGTTATATACACATATACATACATACATGAGTTGACTGATGATGATAATATTTGTAAAATTTTTTGGTTAGGGTCAATAATGCTGGTATAGCGGCAACGTAAGTTATTATTTTTTATTTATTTCTTACATGAATAGATCTTTAATTAATTTTAATTCAATTTTCACGATATGATAAAAGAAAATTTTCTTTAACTGTTGATGGAATTCAAGATCAATTCGGAATTAATCACGTCGGGCATTTTGTAAGTTTTAATCTAAACTGGCCAAAAAGATTTTAGTTGCTTTAAATGCTTACTGGTTGGAACCCAATGTGTGGATGCTAATTATTTTTGTAATTTTTTAAAATAAAGTATCTTACAAAATTACTTTTACCAATACTTGAAGCATCAGCTCCGTCAAGGATAGTTAACGTTAGTAGGTTAGTCGATCAATCAATCAATCAATTAATTAATTAATTACTTATTTTTAGAATCATTTGTATTTATCCGTCATTGATTTCTAATCTAAAAAAAATTAATATATTTATATATAAAGCCAAGCTTATAAGCTTGCAAACGATGGAATAAAATTTGATAAAATAAATGATCCAGCTCTTTCATCAATGAAACGATATGGAACTTCAAAACTTGCAAATATTTTATTTACGGTTGAATTAAATAAACAACTGGAAGGAAAAAAAATTTATGTCAATTCTTTACATCCAGGTAATTATAGTAATAATAATAATAATAATAATAAAATTTTAATTTATTATTATTTTTTTCGAAAACTACTAAAATTTATTTATAGGAAATGTAAATACTGAACTTATTGGAAAAATTACAAATAAATGGACAGCTCCACTCTGGGGGCTTGCAAAATGTATATTTTTGATTACACCTGATGATGGAGCATTGACCACATTATATTGTGCAACAAGTCCAGAGATTGAAAATAAGAATCTGCGTGGAAAGTATTTTATTCCATTTGGTGTAGAATCTCCAACAAACAAACATGGTAAAGATGAAGAATTGGCAAAAAAACTATGGCAATTTACTGATGATTTAGTAAATGAAAAATTAAAAGATATAAAATAAATAAAATTTATTTAATAATAAAGATAAAATATAAAATATAAATATATATATATTGTATTTATTGCAATTATTAAATTATTTTAAATTACAATTCTCTTTTCACTCCATTTTTTTTTGTTTCCATAATTTTAAAATTGAGAAAATGCTGTTGCTTCTTCATCACCACCTCTAGAAAATGGTCATTTGATAACCAAGATGAATTAAAAACAGCGTCATCAACTACAACATCCACCCTTGTTAAAACTACTTATCCAGAAAAAAAATTAATAGCTTCAACTGCATCTGTTGATGGTGCTTGCTAATGGCTCTTCTGCCAACTTAATCACCGAAAAAGAAATACGTGACTTGATCAGATAATAAAAACTTGACATTATAGGCATCATCATAAATTAATATTGATGAAAGAAATAAAGAAATTCTTAAGAGCATTGCAAACAAAATTGCTGCTATTGATAAAAACAGAGATAATTTGAAGTTGAAAATAATGATATATCTTGAATTTAAAAAATCATATACTACTGCTATTATTACTATTATTGATAATATCATTATTAATATTTGTATCTTTCTTTTCATCATCTTCGTAATCTTCACTCTTCACCTCTTTCTTCCTTTCCTTTTGACCCACTCCTAAATTGCTTCTATCGTTTTACTTCTAGGATTTGTTTTTTTTTTTGTCGGTCCCGTTTACTTCGTTGACAATCATTTCATCGACACCCATTTCGTTGAAAGTTTGTTTCGTCGACAATCACTTCGTCGACAATCACTTCGTTGACAATCATTTCGTCGAAAGTTCATTTCGTCGAAAGTTCATTTTGTCGACAGTTCATTTCGTCGGCTTATGATAAATGAGGTGATGATAGTGATGGCAACAATATTGACATTGAATATTTTAGTATTGATAATAATTATTGTTTTTTAGTAGAGTGTGTGGATCAGACAAATTGGTAATATCCCTTTCATGATGCATAAATTTAAGTCATTCGTATACTTGCAAACTAATTAGCACTCTGATTTTATGAATTCCACCAGGAATGTATAATATCAAATTTCTTTCTTAATTACAATCATACAAATGCAAATTATACTAATAATAAATAAATTAAATGGTAGTAGTAGATACTAAACAGTGCAATGCATATGCTACGCTAAATCATTAAATTGAAAATTAGTTTTTGATATTATTAAAATCGTATGATTAAATGGGTCTGACAATCAAGTAAGGTTTCTAACCCAAACTGTTTCTCAAAGCTCAAACTATTTTGTCGATTTGGATTTTTCAACGTTTTATATATATATATAGGTAGGTATATTAGACCAGAAACCTTACAATCAAGCCATCAGACGAATTTTGTGCTTTAATTACAAAAGTATACTTTAATAATAACATCATGTTAAATAAATAAATAAATACTTTTTAATTTTTGTCAATTTTTGGCTAGCATCATAACTCTGCATGCTCTATAAAATCAAATTGGTTATTGTTACCGATCACTTGCCAACTCGAAAGAGTATAAAATATATCTGATTTATTAAACAATTAGAGATGTGTTTCTTCTTTCCAAAATTTTTGCGCATCTTTTACTTTGTAATATAAAGAAATTTGGCGAAAACCTACTTTGTGCAAAAATGGGATTTAAAAAATTTTAAAATCAATAATTAATTATTGTTACCAATCACTTTCTAACTCGAAAGAATATACAATAAATTTTTCTTTTACATTTATTCCTATATACATGTGTAAATGATGATTAGAACAATAAACAACAACAAAATGATTATAGTGATGTTATTAAATATAAGTTAAACTAAAAGAGAAATTTATATAAACTATTGAATGATAGATAAAACCTTCGTTAGTATATTTTGTTCATAGATCTTGTCCTTAAAGCTTACTTCGATTACTCCTACACAAACTATTAATTAATTAATAAACGTTTGTTAGAATATTTTGTTCATAGATCTTGTCTTAACACTTGTACAAACTATTGAATAATTAATAAAACGTTCGTTAGAATACTTTGTTCATAGATCTTGACCTTAACACTTGTACAAACTATTGAATAATTGATAAAACGTTCGTTAGAATATTTTGTTCATAGATCTTGACCTTAAAACTTACTTCGATTACTCCTACATAAACTATTGAATAATTGATAAAACGTTTGTTAGAATATTTTGTTCATAGATCTTGTCCTTAAAGCTTACTTCGATTACTCCTACATAAACTATTGAATAATTAATAAAACATTCGTTAGAATACTTTGCAATCTTCATAGATCTTGTCCTTAACACTTGTACAAACTATTGAATAATTGATAAAACATTCGTTAGAATATTTTATAAGCTTCATAGATCTTGTCCTTAAAACTTACTTATACAAACTATTGAATATTTGATAAAACGTTCGTTAGAATATTTTGTAAGCTTCATAGATCTTGTCCTTAAAACTTACTTGTACAAACTATTGAATAATTGATAAAACGTTCGTTAGAATATTTAGAAAGCTTATAAATATTGTCTTAGCGCTTACTTCGATCACTCCTATACAAACTGGATCTTATCATCCTCAACAAACGATGATTCGTTGTCGTCGTTGCTACTAATTAATAATATTATTAATATTATTGATTGATGGATCTTCGTATATTATAAATGTAACCAATCAAATCAATTAGCGAATTTTTATCTTTTTAATTTTTTAAAAAATGTTTCCTTTTAACTAAAAAAAAAATAATAAAAATTAACAAAAGGAAGGGTCATGTCACGAGGGGTTAATACACCCAACATGAGCCACCCGCGTCAGTTCCACCTTCCTAGCACATGGGACTTTACAGCCAGTCCAAAGTGAGGCAATGCACCTAAGGGAGCCGGACACAGGAGACCATATTCGGTACTTCATCATTGCATGACTTTTCCCTGGTCGATACTTTTATACCAATTCTATGACTTATATATTAACTTTTTTTCAAGTTGTGCAAAATATGGGATACCAACCATTTCATTGGATTAAATTTATTCCATAATTTTTATTGTGTAATTTAAAAAAAATAAAATTCAACAGAAAAAGTAGAGTGTTAAATACAAGATGTATGACGACATACGAAGCTTCCAAAGCAAGTTTGTAAAATATACTGATGAACGTTTATCAATTATTGAACAGCTTGTATCGAAATAAGTGTTAAAAGTCAAGATCTATGAATCTGTTTGTAAATATATTTAACGAACGCTTTATCAATTATTCAAATAATTATATAGGCGGGCTTGGTCGAAGTAAGTGTTAAAGTCAAGATCTATTTGCAAATCAAGTTTCCAAAACGAACGTTTATTATTATAGGCGGGTTTGATCAAAGTAAGTCTTAAAGTCGAGATCTATGAAGCTGTTTGTAAAATGTATTTAATTAACGTTTTATTATTATCAATTATTCAATAATTATATAGGTGGGTTTGATCGAAATAAGTATTAAAGTAGTCGAGATCTATGAAGCTGATTGTAAAATATATTTATCAACGTTTTATTATTATCAATTATTCAAATAATTATATAGGCGGGTTTGATCGAAGCAAGTGTCAAAGTCAAGATCTATGAAGTGTGTTTATCATTTATTCAACAATTATATAGACGGGTTTGATTGAAGTATTAAAGTAGTCACGAAGTTTTTTGTAAAATATATTTATCAACGTTTTATTATTCAAATAATTATATAGGCGAGTTTGATCGAAGCAAGTGTCAAAGTCAAGATCTATGAAGTTTGCAAAACGAATGTTTATCAATTATTCAACAATTATATAGGCGGGTTTGATTGAAGTAAGTATTAAAGTAGTCGAGATCTATGAAGTTATTTGTAAAATATATTTATCAACGTTTTATTATTCAAATAATTATATAGGCGGATTTGATCGAAGCAAGTGTCAAAGTCAAGATCTATGAAGTTTGCAGAACGAATGTTTATCAATTATTCAACAATTATATAGGCGGGTTTGATCGAAGTAAGTATTAAAGTAGTTGAGATCTACAAAGCTTTTTGTAAAATATATTTACCAACGTTTTATTATTATCAATTATTCAAATAATTATATAGGCGGGTTTGATCGAAGTAAATTTTAGTCAAGATCTATAAAGTTTGCAAAACGAATGACCAATAAAAAGTTGTGGGACTAAGTGACTTGCACCATATAAGGTTATGTCGAGAGATTGGTCAAGAGAAGAGTTAGAAGGAGAGTTGATTTTCAACTAAGTCGAAAACCAACCCTTTAAATACATCTTCGAGTAGTACAATTTAATTTATTAGACTATTTTGAAGGTTTGTCGCATGCTTTCTTCCAACTTCTTAAATTTGAACCATTTGTCGAATATTTTTATTAACTATAAATAATTCATTTATTTTTTTTACGTTATCAAATTCACGATTTTGATTGGTCAATCAATGATTACATGGATTAAATTTTGTGTTAAAACATAGCTCTAAATCTTTAATTAGTTTTCGACTAAATAAAATAAATAAACATTTAAAACCAAAATTATCCATTAATTAAACTAATATGTTAGTAAATCTATTCATTCTGACCCACATAAACATAATAAACAATTGTTATCATCATTAATTTACGCTCTCCCAAACATAATTGGTAATACATGCAAATTAACATGAATTGTTGTAGAAATGAACTGTCGACGAAATGAACTTTCGACGAAACAAAATTTTGACAAAATGAACTTTCGACGAAATGGGTGTCGACGAAATGATTGTCGACGAAATGAATCAGACCCGGGTTGGGTGCGTGTTATCATTTAAAAATTGATTTGGCGATTTGCGGATGGTTTTTTCGGAAAAATGCATGATTATAACTAAATAATCGACTAAAATAATCGATTAAATAGTTGACTATTTAGACGATCAAGATAGTTAACTGTTGGTATTAGTTGTTCAAAAAAAAGTTTAGTCGAATATTTTAGTCGATTCCAACCTATAAAATATGGAAACGACTTCAAAAATCTCCAAAAAAAAAATTTACGAGTTTTGGCAAGAAATAGTGACACGACGAAATTCAAATTTTTTTTTGAATAATTCAATAGCAATGATCGTCATTATCATTGCATTAAATAATAATTTTTGTAGATAGATTGAGTTTTCAGTTTTGAAACTTTATCCTTTAAATCCGCTAAATAAAGAACCGCTGAACTTACTGTGTACACATCATAATCATAAGACGGGTTTGAAAATCTCTACTATGAAAATATAAGATACGTAAAGGATCCAACATTA